ATGGTGATGTGATCAACTCAAAACTTTCTCCGATGAATCAAAAGAGCTGCGGTGGTTGCAACAATCGACAGGATGAAATGAAATGGATCATCTAGTGCATGAAGAAATGACATTTTCAAGAGAAGTTTGTCAGTGTGTCAAACCCAGCAACCAAACCTGATGAGGATAAAACCATCAAGGAGAAACACAAATACAATGGGCAAAGCAGCTGGGGCAATGAATCATTTTGATCAACGCGTGTGTCCAGGAAATCCCTAGAAAAGACATTACGATCCTGTTTAGGACAAATAAGCTAAAGATACACGATCTGAGACTACTATTCTGAGTGCTCAACGTCAGCGTTTGGCTGCATGCCGTTCCTCGTTGTCTCGGTAGTTGACATTCTCTTCAGAGTCGGTGTCCTGTATATCAACAGGGCGTCGTGTCAGGTTGTCATCATCGAGGTCTGACCATTTGATCGCGATGAATTTCAGCCCCACATGGTTGCTATGGGCAATCGTGTACCTCTCAGGAGTGTTGACGATTCCCTTTTTGGCCACATTGATCTGACATTTCTCGTTCCCTCCAGCACGGAATGAAAGATGTTCCACTGCACCTCTGTAGATCGCCCCAATGGTGATCTCTTGTTGGCCTTTGCCTTTCTTCTCCATAGAATCAAGCAGTTCCAATTCTGCCCATGATGGGATGGTCTTGTCAGCATTCGCAATCTGTCGGCCTAGATAAAAGGCTCCAAAGCTGGGCATGCCGCAACGATGTGGGTTCTTATGGTAGGTCCAGTTGGCTGGTCGGATCATGCCCTCCATGAGGATCAGCTGTGAGGTACTGATGGTCGTACCATGGCCGAGTGCCCATGTGATGAGGGTTTGGCCGCCAAAAGGACGGGGCATTGAGAACCGCTTGATTTCTGGTAGCGGCATGACCAGGGCCAGCATGCCCGTTTGAGGAAGTTCTCGCACATAACATGTGGAGAGATCAAAATCGGTCAGGATGCCAGTGCTCGACAATAAATATATGGCTTTTCTGCCAATATCTGTTGGGATTCTGGAGTCAACTTTTGCCAGTTCTTCCATTGCTTCCTCGCAGTGCTCTTGGATAATACTCGTGGACGGTTGTGGAAGCTCCTTGGCATCAAGTTCGTTTGCCGCCCTCATCCGATCGGGATGGGTGAGAGCATGTTTTACTTGACGAGCCCAGTCCTCCTTGGAACCTTCTTGAAGGTTGATGGGAATATGACCTGGTGGAAGAGTGGAAGCTCGAGACTGAGCTGACCCCGATCGATTGGGATGTTTGCCATGGTGGTGAGAGTGCTGTTCAAGTGAGAATGCCGTCAGAGGTTTTGAAGGATATTTGGAAGGAAGTTCATCATTGAGGCTTGGACTGATATTGAGGCTTGGACTGATCTTTCCAAGACTGCCAAGATTTCCACTTTTTGGTGGAGCTGTAGTCATGGTAGGTGGAGTGGTCATGGTAGTCCGACTTGTCGGCAGTTGAAGGTTGGTCGTAGTACTGGTCGTTCCAAGATTCAGGTCTATGGGTAGTATGTGGATAAGTATAATCATCACGTTGACGAAGTTCATCTCGCTGATGTGGTACTTCGCGATGACGTGGAGAGTTGGATCGAAGGGTGACTGAATGGGTACGGCTTGGAGGTCTGGAAGCATCACGTGACCAGGAATGTCGACGACGGTGACGTGAACGGCTGTCACGTCGATGGCGTCTTGGACTTCTTGGAATCGAGATTGGACGTTTGTCCACTTGAATTGGAGTGTGTTTAGACCGTGACCTGGAACGGCGTTGAAGCCGTGGAAGTGGTGGTAACGGGACGACAGGTGTAGGCTCTGCGACTGGAGTCGCTGGTGGAGGATGTGGCACACTTGGAGGAGGACTTTTGGACCTTTCTTTGGTCAGATCCATAAACGCCTGCATGCCCGATTCCACTGTGTGACGCACCTGTTGGATCATCTCTTCTGGATTGAAGGTGGTGTTGGGCCCTTGTGGAACGGGTTGAGATGGAATTGGAGTAGGCGGTGTTTGGACTGGCTGCACCGTCGGTGGATCAGGGACTGGTAAAGGAGATTGATGAGGTGCCGTTGGCTGAGGAGTCTGATGCAATGGGAGAAGCTGCTGAAGTTGCTGAATATGGGTCTGAGCTTGGGAATTCAATTGTTGATGTAATAGTTGATTCTGTTCCCTTAATTGAGCCAACTGAGTCTGAGTCTGAGCTTGTGACTGAGCTTGAGACGGTTGGTTCATCATATCACCTCCACAAAATTGACCAAATTGTGCTGCAGCTTGAGGTGGAGTGAAAGCAGGCGCTGCCCAGCCGAAGTTCCACATGTTCTCCGACAGGTTTGGCCAGCGATTAGGAAACATGGCCAAAAAACACAAGGCAGGCAGCACTGTCAGACGATTGAAATAAAACTTAGTTCAAATTAGATGCATCCACAATTCATGCAGAATTCGTGATAAGGCTCAAAGGCCCTCGGTATTCACGTCAACCCCATCGACGGCTATCAGTATTCAAATGAATTACGTGCACAATTGAACCTCACCAGAAACCATCAAAAGAAGAACCACACCTAAGACATGTCCTGTCGCCTATCCAGATCATGAGCATGATGCACAATGCTGAAAAGTCTCTCGAGCAACGATGAAAAAAAGAAGGTTGTCGCAGCTTCAGGCTATGCAGTGAGAAGTCCACGAAAAAAATTGAAGCCCCACGGCGGCCAGTTGTTCAACCAAACGACAACGACAGGGTGAGAATCGAAACAAGGCCAGCGGTTCACTTTACTTAGACGAATTACTAATTCAAAAGTGTAAATTCAGACATCGTTTTACTGTCAATTGTTAGCCTGGAAAGGCTTTTCCCGAAGGGTTCCTGCCAACTTGACGTATACAGCAGGAATGACACACTTGCTCTGAAACAGTCATGCGAATTTTTGTTGTGGAATGCATCTCACGTGCACAAGACAATCCCTAAAAAACTGCCAGGAAGGTTTCGTTGATCCAGCGTGAAATTCATGGTGAAGTAAATTTTCTACGTCCTTGCTCTGAAGAAGGTTCAGATGCAACTGAACCAGTTGTAAATATCCAAATAACCAAATAAAACCAGATTGCGACAACAGTGCAGTAGAGACTCCTCAAATGGAAATTCGACATGCCGGTTCTTGGCTTAGCCGGTCGCCATTACGGAAATGGAAATTGGAAAAATGCAGGTACGTTAGCACGACATCATGGATGGGTCTTCGTTGGCCCGTGCCATCCATGTGCCCACGGGCCCCCTGCAATGAAAAAGAGAAATAAAACCTAGACAACCAGCAGAAGTTTTTCATCTATGCAGATGGTTCACACAAAGAAACCCCTCAATGCTCCTTTATCTTTTAGGACATAATTTGCCGCACTTGTCTGTCTATCTAGTTGGGACCACTGTGATCCAGAAGATATCAACAATAATCTGAAATCCCTCTAACAACGCCTATGGCGATCAGACCCTACCCAATAATCTTGGTGGATTGAAAACATCACTCCCTAGTCATCAAATGGGGGCTGGAATGGTTCAGAGTGTGTTTACGTGCATGGACAATATGTTTGTGAGTGATCATCACTCTTGTGCCTTTCCTATCATGAGCTTCACCACCTTCATCCCTTTCATCGGCTAATTATGTCAATTTACACTGACTAGTCACACGCATCTATGTGATATGCAGAGAGGTACTTGTACGTTGGTTATATCTCTATGTGTATGTACATAATTGTACATATGCATGCACGCTACACACACACACAGACACAGACACAGACACAGACACAGACACAGACACAGACACAGAGACAGAGACAGAGACAGAGACAGAGACAGAGACAGAGAGAGACACAGACAGACACAGAGAGACACAGAGAGAGACACAGAGAGACACAGAGAGACACAGAGAGACACAGGGAGACACAGGGAGACACAGAGAGAGACAGAGAGACAGAGAGACAGAGAGAGACAGAGAGAGACAGAGAGAGACAGAGAGAGACAGAGAGAGACAGAGACAGAGAGAGACAGAGAGACAGAGAGAGACAGAGAGACAGAGAGACAGAGAGACAGAGAGACAGAGAGACAGAGAGACAGACAGACAGAGAGACAGACAGACAGACAGACAGACAGACAACCACAGACCACACAGACACACAGACACACAGAACACAACAGCACACAGACAGACAGACAGACAGACACACAGACACACAGACACACAGACACACAGACACACAGACACACAGACACACAGACACACAGACACACAGACACAGTGGGTAAAACCATTGCACGCTGCTTTTTTCGGCAGTCTATCCTCAGGATCCTCAGGATTCTCTTGCTGATCTAAAAGTCTTGCCAGGCACTCACTTCTAACCACCTTAAATTGTGTCTCTCTCGAGGAAGATGCGTAGTGAAACCCTTCATTGTAGTTGTGTTTAACAATGTTTAATAAACATATCAAAACATAGGCACTTTAGCTATGAGATCACCACATGTGTTGCTCGAAAGGTGAGTCTGCCTTGTGTACTTTGTCTTTTAAAAGAATGAAGAATTATGTAAAGAGCCAGATACCAATTCAGAGTGGTGTGGATTTTGGATGCCCTGTGGTCATTTGATGTGGACATAGCATTAATTTGCAAGTGATTTCTATCCGTTTCAACTGCGGAACTTCCCTGCCAGGCGAAATTACCATACCCCCCAATTCGATCTCCGAACCCCCAGCCAGTTGCCATCCTCAAAGCTGGTGACCTGGTGTAAAAGTCCGCCTCACTTTTTAGATAAGCGGTGGATGGACGGTGTAAATGAAGCATTTTGTGATTATATAAAGATGGAGGTAGAAAGAAATCTGTTGGTGAAATATGACTTCTAATTACTGTGATACCCAGCGGCAGATTTTATTTTGGTGGCTCACCCACCAATCAGCAACAGTCCAATGGCTACGAAAGCTTGGCGGTCAGCGGCAGAACGTTGGCAGGTTTCAAGAAGGCCGGTCTGAAGTTGCATCCCGACCGCTTCCTGCGGATGGAGTTGACAGAAAAGGAGAAGGTGCATGGCAGCTGGATTTTGATATATGTTGATCATTTCACGATGAACCCCATAGCACCGTGATTGAAAATTGGTCACCAGAAGGGCAATGGCCAGACAGAGTAGGACAATCATCATCGGTACCACAGGTGGGACGCCTGAAGTGGAGCGACGACTGTAGGATCCGGGGATTGCCAGGAAGAGAAGACGAAGGAGTTTAAGTATTTGGTAAATTGCAAAGACAGCCTCTCGGCAGCAAAAAAGAGAGGCCGGAGATTGAGAAGAAATGGGTGAGTCTGTGCAAGCCCAAGAGAGTAGTCTGGGTCCAAAAAGCCAACGAGGCGCCCCAAAAAACGATGCTTCAAGATTGAAATATATGGATTTGTGAAAAACAGACCCTGACATCCGATGGTTTATTATCGTTTCTCTTTAGTATGATTCTGGGTATAATTACTCCATTCTCAGACGCAGCGATATTGAAACATCACCCGTTTCTCCAAGTGATCCCCTCCATGTTTTGAGTGTTTTTTGTTGAATGGTGGCTGAACATCCACAAGTGCACAATTTTGTTTCATGCGAACACCATATATTTGTATATATATATAATTATATATATATATACAGATACACATTGTAGTCTTATAGTATATATTTTTTGTACATATGTAACACCTGATCTGGATAAATCATCAGATGTCACATGGCTCCTGACTGGAATGATGGCTAGGATTGGGGTAACTCTCCCAAAATGATCTTGCAATTTATCCAGATACAATGCCATCATGCCATAAAACCATATCAAACCAGGCTTCCACAGCTGGATTAAATCGGGTGAGCTGATCCATAATGCCAAGTAGTGACATACACCCAGGGAAAATATATGGCCCCCGATGGCACAAAATCACAACTTCAGCTGACCTCAGAAATGATGCTTACAGTCGTAAGGGGAGGGCATCAACACAGAGAGATCTGGGGACTCCCAGACTTGTTGTATGGGTAATGACCAAATAATGACCAACAGTGCGGGGTCCAATTGACCAGCGGTCCACATTTTTGGGGGATGGATTGAACCCACCGACTCCGAATGGTTTCAAAGCCTTCCCACTTGCCACGAAAAAAGATTACACAATGACTGCTCTACAAAGTGGTTCTCCATGGTTCTCCTTCTCATTTCCTCAACTTTGAACCAAGCGAGTGACACAGAAGCGGCTTGTTTCTCTCATGACCAAGGCTTGAAAGGTCCGGACGGTAAGGAGTTGACCTTGAACCAGAAAGAGCATCGTGACAGTCTTTGTTACAAATGAGTGGCCGAGATGTCAACGGAAGATCAACGGCACTTGGAGATTTTCGCACGGAAAAAAAGGAGTTAAGCGCCAAATGTGCGGTAGAACGGTTTTTTTGTTGCGAAAAATCAGGTTGATGGTTATATGTGAATGTATGTGCTTTTTGTTTGGTTTTCATATTCTTGAGATGGTTGTAATCAGCAGATATGATCCAGCCGGGATTCTGAAATGTTTGCAACGTTTGCAGGGGATTAATGTGTGGTGGTGTGGGTTGAACACGCACCAAAGGATGCCATGACATATGGACCGCCAACTCATCCATAAATGGAGGGATTGTCCATTGCCATGTTTAATTTTTTTTAAGATACCGGAGGGTAAAAGACAGCAAAGTACCGGAGTTGTTGGGAAATGCTTGCCAGCCGACAGCACGCGAAGCGCTAAAGCTAGGGCATCAACCTTTGCTGCAAAGTTGATTGTGGCGGAGACAAGACATCACTTCTAGAATCCTCAGCTGACCCATTAACGTTTGCTACCCAAATTCTAGTTGTACTTCCTGCTCACAACTGAATCATTGCTTGGTGACTGTTGCCACTATTTAGCATCATGGCACCGTATGGCACCCATCGACGTCCAACTTTCAATTAATAGATATATGTGCATGCATGCATACACGCATACACGCATACACCCATACACCCATGCACACATACATACATACCTACGTACCTACGTACGTACATACATACATACACATACGTACATACATACATACATACATACATACATACATACATACATACATACATATATATACATACATACATACATACATACATACATACATAAATACATACATGCATGCATGCATGCATACGTACATACATACATGCATGCATGCATGCATGCATACGTACATACATACATACGTACATACATACATACATACATGCATGCATGCATGCATACGTACATACATACATACATACATACAATGAATAGATGTAATGAACACACACATATATATATTATTACACATATGTAATGAGTATGCATCCACTTATGTACTTTATGAAGAAATAACAGTGGATGATGAATGCCCCTTATGCACCAGGTATCCCTGACAGCCTTTGCAGGTCGTCGAGATGGAAGCGGCCACAAGGCACATGGAGGTTTTCCAAGGAATGCACGAGGAAGCTGGGACTTGTTTGCGCCAAGATGTTGGATGGGCCAAAAATCCACGATGTCACGTTGGGCCCAACGGTTGAGCCATACACATTAAAGACAGTCCACATTATAAAAAAACGGGTGCAGCTGCAAGTTCAAGTAGTCAACTTAGATGCAAGTTGTAGCGACATAATCACCGTGCACAGTTTTTATTTTTCTGAAACACTGCGCCCCAAAATGGACCGGACCATTCAATGGTAGATGAATTGCAGGTTTGCTGAAAATGGGACGTCCCAAAATCATTCAATTTCGTTATTTTATGATATTTTGATGAATATTTGTTTTTAAGTAAAACATAAGCAGATACAGTAAACATAAGTAAACCATACATTATTGGTTTCCCCCATGTTTCCCCAATTCTGGGAAACCTCACTTGGAGCCTGGTGAATTTGGGGATCTTCACCAGGGTGCCACCCACCCTTTGGCTGTGCATCTCATTTAAGGTGGGTAATTGTCATATGACCAGTTACTCTCTGGTTATTTAACATAGCTATGGAAAAAAATCACCAATATTAATAGCTAAACCATCATAAATATAATCTATAAACGGATAAATGGGCCATGTTACCATGTTCATCCATTTTTATGTTGAATAACCAGAGGGTACATGTGAGAAAAAAAAACGGTTGTACATAACTAAGCATCCTCCGACTGGGACGCGACCCGGAGCACCCGACACAATTGCTGAATTGTCCGACCATGAGGTAATTACATGTAATTACTGCAATTCTCACCGAATATCATTATACATTAATATATATATATTAATATACATGATCATCTGTCCACATCTTTGCCATTTTAAGCTCCATTTGGGCTACTAGGGCTACCATGTCCCAAGTACTGTTGGCGATGGGGCCATCACTGAGGTCTGGGATATCCCGACCTGGGCTTTTCCAATGGCTGAGATTGAGCGTTTGGAAGCGCGAAGGAGGCCTGAGGACGTTCACCGAGCATGTGTTGTGAACGTTCCATGTTTTTTTCCCGTGTCTGTAAAAACTGGTCGAGCCAAAAAAAACAGACTGGGTGGATGTGTTTGAAAATGATGATACATATATATACATATGTAATCCAGTGGAATTGCATGGAATTGGAGGGTCCTGTATCATTGGTGGCTTCAAAAAAAGTGCTGTTTTCGACCAGAAATTCATATAGAAATGGGATGATGATCCCATAGGACAGGTATCACCACCTGGCCGTAAAAATGGTTGAAGTGACCGTATCACAGATGTGGAACCCAGCTCTGGTCTCCATTAAAGATGGCGCTTCAATGTGGCTGAATATGGCTTTGGTTTTGTACCTGAAAATTCTGGAAAGCCCAGAATTTGATGGTTTAGATAATGTTAAATATGTTGATATAAATATCTCATGTCCGCTGTCAATGGGGATTATGCAACCATTCATGACCAAAGCCTCCTGTGCAGTGCATTGGAAGTCGAACCTTGTCGCGATAGCAGATATCTATAGAATATCTAATATCGAATTCTATAGATATCTCAAATTACAATATGTGGAATTACAATATGTGGAAATTTGTTCCATTGCAATTGTACGCTAAATATTATTAAAACACGTGAAGTGTTCATGGCTTGGATCTTGTTTGTGCGCTCCATTTACCCATGGAGATGACAAATATTAGCTCTGTAGATCATGTTCATAGGAAACCAGCTGGTTTTTCCACATCGAACTGTAAAAAAGAACCCAACGTACCATACAAATCCATACACCAGCACCGTTGGGGACGTGGCTTAATTCTTGCTACACACATTTTTCCGGCCTCAGCCGTCAGGCGCATCTCGAAAGGTACCACAGGAAGTTCAGATAGTAACCGTTGGAGCTGGACGGAGGCACATTGGTTGAGAAGTTGTGAAAGATGTTCACGGCATGTGGGTCTGTACCATTCTGTACCCATGGGTACCCGTCAATTCATTGGTTAATCATAGCCTTATCCCCATTATATTTTTTGGCCTTTTGCGGTATGCCCCATTTTCAGACACGCCCATGAGGAATTGTTTCAGGCTTCCCCAAGATGTCAGTCATGGTAAAGGATGAAGGGGCTAAGTGAACTGGATTAAGGTATGGATAATGTGTACTCCGAAGCAACATTTCATCGGTCTGGAAGGTCCCATTGTTGTTCTGCGCCAAGTGGAAAGCGTGGCTGGCTATCAAAAATCACCATCCAGTCAAGGTAGGGGATCCACCCTTAAGACCCTCAGCAAACTGACGAAAAAATGAGGGCAGGACGCAGCTGAGGATATTTCATGATATCAATACCCGAGTGCAGTGACCATGTTGGTTCATGCCCCATCCAGTGGCATTTGTCGGAAAATCATACAACTTATGTTTTACTCTTGTTTCTACGTTTACCTGCCACGAGATGGGTCAGAGATGGTCAGCTTTTGTGCAACAACAAGATTGTGTTCAAATTGCCCCTAAAAAAACGTTCTGAAAGTGTCAGGTCAATCTCTGGTCCGAGTGATTCAAACATGGAACCGTATGCTGCTGACAAAAAACACTCACATTCAACCCCGCAGAAATTGCCGAATCTTTTTGCGATTCAAACTTCACCATTTCTCGGATAAGAAAATTAGTTGCTGTTGATGTATACATCCCCATGTGTTTGCATTTTCCTGGCACTGCATTTCCCCGTTTTCGTTGCCCAAAGTCTCCCTATTCGCCAGACGTCGTGGGAAGCCATGGACGTCTTCTCAACTGCTTCCACGCGGCATCCCTCAAAGGGCAGCGGGTTCCAGCCGTTGTGCGGCGTGAAGCAGGCGAGGAAAGCCTGGTCTTGGGAATGGCGCCCAGGGCCGGATCCTAACCCTGTGTATGTATCACAGTATGTGTATATTGTAGTATCAGTATATCTATAATTTCATTATATAGTTTTGGTTATATAGTATATAGTGTGTATATAAATACAATTATATATATATATATGTATATGTACATATGTCTATAATATGCATACGTATTCATCTATGTATAAATATAAATATATATCATTATATATCTATAATCATATTTTTATAGCGATATATACTTTTATAATGTGTAATATGTATTATATATATATACGAATGAATTATGGATGATGATATTTGCATTGTTTAAGAGGGGCGTATCCCAGTGACAAAACACATACCACCAACTTCAAGCAACTTCCAGGATTATTTTGGTCTATGGCAATTTCCCAGCTTTTAACTGGGATGCATATGATAATTACCTGGAGGGTGCACACTCTCAGTAGAGAAAAGCATCTAAAGATTGGAATTGGGAGGTATGATATAGAGACGGAGATACTAATATAAAATAATTAAATTGTCTTCGGGTTATATATGTAGATCAGATATTAATTAACAATCAGATATTAAACAATCAGATATTATTAAATTATATAATATATATATAATATCTGATTGTGTTCTTTGCCGCGGCTTTCACCACCTTTCACCGGCTGGTCAAAGCAAAAAAAAAGTCGTGGCAAATCATGGGATTTTTGTTGGTGATGGTCATCTCATTAGAATCCAAACATCATTGGCATATACCCCGTGGTAAATTAACATAGACCCTGAAAATAGCCTAGTTTGAATGGAAACTAATCTTCCAACCCCGATGACTGCCAGGGTCAAACTGTTAATTTACCAGAGGGTAAATCCCAACGAAAACAGATTGATGACCTGAAAAATGTATGGTGAAATTGGATAGTCCGACTCCTGACAGGGAGCACTCCTGGTTTTTTGGGGTTCCATGACTTCCATGTTGAAATACAGATGAGTTCCACAAATCCAAAACTAACTCAGAGCATCTAAGAAAAGTCGCCATAGTGGATGGTTGTCTCACTTGTATGTATATATATATTATATAATATATATATATATAAATAATATATATATATATGGACTCTCGCAATAAAAACCTGGGCGGAGTGGAGTGGCCACGCAGGTCTTGTCTAAGAATGAAGTGTGTTTTGTTTGTTCCAAAGTTTTATTTCACTCAGAAATCTTAAGATAGTGCTGGTTGGAGTTGGTGGTTTGGAATGTTGTGGAACCAGCGATGAATCATCGCCGTGCCGCCTGGTGTGCGCGGTGCCAGCGGTGCCAGCGGTGCCAGCGGTGCCAGCGGTGCCAGCGGTGCCAGCGGTGCCAGCGGTGCCAGCGGTGCCAGGCATCTGGTCCCCTGGGGAAATGGACCAGCGCGTTGACCAAGTTAGGCCAGGTATGGTGGATTTTCCACGTTTGATGACCGGGTAGTAGCGGGTAGTGAATTCGGGGAATCGAATCGCCTCAAGTGACCCAGCAAGGCAATTCTGGAACTAAAACGATTTCTGTTATCCATCCTCCAGCGCACCTCCAGGTTGCTTTGGAGATCTTTGACCCAACACCTAGGGGCAATGATGAGCAAGTTATGTACCCACGTGAGATACACTTGACATATCTTGGAATCCAAAACAACTAGTGGAAAGTCGCCCTATGCAATGGAGAAGCCTGCTAGGTCAGGTATGATAGCACTTTTGTGCTTTTGGATGGATTTGTTGTTGTTGTTGTCGTTGTCGTCGTCGTTGTTGTGGTGGTGGTTGTCGGCATTTGATGGGTTTACCAAGTCTTCCACCAAGAGTTGAACTGTAGCAGGGGAGAAATCACCATGATGGTGTTTGAATCCCCCTGGATGACGAAAGAGTCTTTATGGATTTTGCTCTAGAATGGTGCACTACCCCAAACAGATCCAAACAGCCTCACCCATAAATTCAGACAAGTTATGGAGCCAGGTCTTAAAAAATCGCTCCAGATCAAACGTTTACAAGAAAGCCAAAAAATGGGAAAATCATCTATCAACAGTGAACATCATATATTTTAATGGGAAAATCTCCCACTTCAATGGGAATTTTGGCCAAAGGTTGCCGAAATGATTCCAGATTGCCTCCAGGTCCGCTGACAGAGAAGGCGGAAGGCACCCTGATCATCACATAGCCATAGGGTTCGAAACTGTTGGAATTGACCAGTATTTCAAACATGTTAAAACCATAGTTAATTATATGCTAGAATAGATATTCAGTGGTATATTCCTAATATTCATAATATTCATAGATAATATGTATTTCTTGTATTTTTGTGATTGAAAACTTCTGGTGATGCATCACCAGTGGCAACTGGGGCCTAGTCCCATCAATACAAATTCCCTGACCGAAAGGCCCAAATATGGCCATGAACTTCGCATGGCCAAGCCCCATATGGTGAATGTTGGATGATCCTGCTAGGGAAAAAAAAACTCATCAGGCTGATGAATTTCTGCCCTTTTCACCTTGCGTCGATGTCTGCAAACTAGCGGCTTTTGTGGGGATTTTTTGAAGAAATGGCCTTAGTTAAACTGATCTATATGAAAAAACATATGGAAAAACATCAGGTACTGTACTATGAATTCCAGGGCGAAAACTTGAGGCATTTCATGAAGTCCATAGTGGTCACAAGCCAGGGACAAGCACTTCAGGCATCTATTTATGTATTTTGATTGTGTGAAATCCCCATTGATAAGAGATTTCAGGCATCAATTTCAATTTCATGAAGTCCCTGCCAATCCAGAATCATTGGAAGAGACTTTACTGTAGGCATTTTTAGGCATCTTTAGGCATCTTTAGGCATTTAAGGCATTTATCTAGTTAACGTTCATGAAGTCCCATTGATCCAAGATCAGCAGAGCCTCAAAAAGTCCCTCCCGATCCAACATGGGAAGAGACTTCAAGCAGGTTATCTATTTTTAATTTCATAGAGTCCCAATGGCCATTGATCATTTGATGTCGTAGGTAACAAACATCATTTCCAGGACACGAGACTTCATGCATTTCATGAAGTCCCCTCCAATTGAAGTACTTCATGTTTCTTTTTGGGAAAAAAAAAGGAATAGTTGTTTCTCTTTGTTGTTGTTTTTTTGGCAAATCCAAGATAATGGTGTGTTTGGATGTGTTCGGTGCAAGTCCTAAACAGGAACACGAGCTGTTGGTGGCTTAGGCATGCTTAGGCGTCTTGAACAAAAAGACTCCGCGCAGAGCCTGGATGCCCATGCCAGTCAGTATCTTGATGATAGCCCAAAAATAACTGGGCATACCTGGAACTTTCATGTGTGCAAAATTTCTGCTGCTGTTTGAAACGGCAAAAGTTGTAACCGTTTCCACCCAAAAACGTCTTTGTTGCAAAACGTCGTCTGCCCAGTTTGAAAATTTGTCAATCAGTTGTGGTCGGGAAAAACGCCGTTTCAAAAATTCCACGGACTTGTTGGAAAAGCGCTCGCAGTCAAAACATAATTGTATATGTGATGGAAAAAACAGTTTTCCTTTAAAAACACAGAAACGAAACATTTGAAAAGTGCATGTCTGTATATATATATACATGTTACACAATCTATAGAAGATCATGTCATTTCATAGCAAAAAACTCTTTTATATTGTATGTTGTTATACTAATTCAGTTCATATTATATTATATCTTATTATTCATAGTATGTTATATTATATTACATTATATTGTTTTACATTATTATTATTTACTATATTATTTCAGTTTATGAAATGAAATGATATTGCATTTTATTTTCCACAATATATATTATAAATGTGTCTTATTATTAAGTGAAATGTTATGATATTACTTTTTCACATTATATGTACAAATTATGTGCTATAAACATATATATATTATGGTGGATTGCAAACATAGTTAGGAACATATCATGGACCACTTCCCAGGATGTGGAAGCGTCGCGACGGATACTCCGTGGCGCGAGCAGATTGACGACATGCTGCAGAGGTGCGAACAATCGCTGTCCATGGGTGTTAGGGGGGCGAACAAATCCAACTTACGGTGGTTTAAGATGTTATAATCCTGTCATTCTCACTTATTGGTACTCGTACTTATTGTGTATATATATATATGAATTCTAGTAACTATATGTAGCCATAGTTCTGGATGAATTACAGTGACCTCGCGTCGTGATCCATAGTTCCGCCAGACATGTGCCATGGTCAAGCTTGTTGGACTTTTTAACCAATTCTTTGATGAGGAATATACCAGGGAAAACGGGGGAATGCCATGGGATGGGATGGCACATACGGGTATAGTAAATTTGGGTACCCCAAAAATACAATCATTGACATTGATGTAATACTAACCAAAATCGGTGATAGGGGTAGGTTTATGTCCCGATTGAGAGAATGAACATCGAATGCCTGCCGAATGTTGGTGGATTTAGGGACATTTGTTTTTACTTTTTCAAGTATTCATCATGCATGATGATTCCCAAGTGAGAAATATGTATTTGAGGGAGGTTTGAGAACCAACCAGATCCAGCTATGATCCAGACAGGTCGGAATCTCTTCTGGTCCGACTGTCATGGCCTTGGACACGCGCTTGCTACCAGTGGTGCTGGTTGCAATGTGTGGTACTAATCTTGTCTGTTGTATATCCGCCATCAATATTCATCTCCATCTATATATATATATATTATGCATTTGCACGGACAAACACCTCAATCTGCCCGGCACTCTCAAAACACAGTACAAAAAAATAGTGGATCATTCTGGCATCCCCTAGATAGCCAAGACGGTTTACAATTTGGTTAACTAGGGTTAGTGGAAGCAGTTCATGTGGCTTGTAAACCAAGAAACATCTCTGGGGGGCTCACCTTGTACCATCATGGTACACCGAAAACACATCACAGCTTAAGTTTTTCCCCTATGATAGGATAACCACAACATTGTAAGGATATGAATAGTTCCCAATAGTTAATCACTGAAGCAGACACTCTTGAATTAATAATCAATGTTCTTTTCATAGCTCATAGTCTCGAAATATTCAAAAAACAGTTATATTTCGCGTTATTTTTGAATGGTTGCTATTTCCCAATACATAGTCACTATGATCATCTGATAGGTTTCTCTTTCGCATGTTCCCATGGCGCGGAAACACTTCCGCGAGGCATGAAAGCACCAAAATGCTCCCCCAGCCTCGAAGAGGCCGTTGATTTTCCGCTTGACAGTCGGTGATTTTCCATGGCTATGTGAACCAAAAAGGTTTTTTTTTTTTGTGGACATCTGAAAATTAATCTCAGTTTTGGGGGAGATAATGTATGATAATATCTTGGAGATCATGGGGATGTAATAGGGGTATAATGGGGATATAATAGGGAAAGTGTAGGGATGTAATGGGATATATTAGGATAGAATGGGATACATAACCAGCAACATCGTTTTTGATGTGGTATACCCAGCAAGTGTTCATTTTAACAAGGTGGAAATGATCCTTAACTACGTATTTGGGAGCATTTCCTTTTTGGGCAAATTCACACCTACCATCTACGAGCATCTGGAATCCCAAAGTGGGCATTTGTGACAGTGTGTTTGCTTCATAGGGTCATTAATATGGCAGTCATAGTCTGGTTGGTGGTTTCAAAGATGACTTTTATTTTCCACAATATATGGGAAAATCATGGATAATCCTTCCCATTGACGAACTCCATCATTTTTCAAGATGGTTAAAACATGTTTTGGAAAACCACCAAGCAGTAGTAGTTCAAGGTCCGCCGAGGAAGTGCCGATTGTTGGATCCATGGTTGGATCCATGGGGCACCAAGGCCCTGGACTGATTGGATTCTGACTTGGACACCGCCCGAAAGTCGTCGAAAGCCGCGGGAAAATTCAAAAAAGCTGTGGCAGTTGCCAGTTGCCAGGTGCCAGGTCAATGACGTCAATTCCATGGATGACACATGGATGACACATGAATGACACATGAATGACACATGAAAACTCAACCATTTTCTGAGGCATTGCGAATCTTCTGTTCACTGCATGTTGCGAAATGCTGTTTGGGGGTCGCCGTGCTGGCTTCAAGGTGAATGTGACACCTACTGTAACCAATGTTCCATCAGGCCAAGATCAAGAAACATGCATTTCCTGGCACTACGATGACATTATTTGCGGGAAAAAGATAGTACTAATATGTACTAATATCTACTAATACTCCATACATTCAGAGCGTGAAATCAAGATATCACTAGTATTCACTAGTTGGTTCACCCTGGGTGAATTCGAAACACCCAACAAATTGACCCAGAAAAATCAATTCCATTGCAACGTGCTGAACAACCGCAATGAGTTTTACTCCGCCAGAGGCACGTTTGGATGCGCAACTGCGGAGCATTTGATCCTTCCCATATTCTAACATTCAAAAGATGATTTACAGAAAATCTCAGTCATTATAGAAACATTGGATTCCTCAATCTCTAAGAATTTGAAGCGTGTGTCGAAAAAGTGTACCATCAACATTGTGGCGCTAGCAAGGATTTATCATGACAAACAACGATTGTAACCCCTTTTCGCGAGTGTTGCTGGTGGCCTTAAGTCAGTCAACACCGATGCAGCTGGTTCATCAAGGCCTTACTCGATGCCAACATCCGCCAACCCTTCTAGCCGTGCTAGGGGGGTCACGCTACCAGCGCTGCAAGCACTGCCAGTACTGGACGCCGTGGTATGAGTTTGGGCGCAAAAGTCATAAGTTAATGTGAAGGTGATTCAAAATTGGTGATAGAATATGGTGATAGGTAAAACGAATCATACTGGAGATACCTGAGGATGTGACCAACATTTGACTTTACCATATTTCACACCCCAGAATGGAAGGCTAAATACTCGAAAATAAGCAAGTTGTATCAATTGGTTGGGTCCAATCGGCCCATACTTGATCATGTTTGATCCATAGCCACATGAGCAATAGTGTTGTTGATCACACAGGCTACGAGTATGGGTGCACAACCATCGATCCAGAAAGATAGTGAGCAGCAAAGAACCCATACTGTACGCAGAAACCACCAGAAAAGACTGCAATTTTAGCCGCGTCTCATTCTTGTGAAACAAGAAATCCTTCCCTGGCGTCAGGACACTCCACGCCCAACGCCAAGGAGTCTGAACGGAGGTCACAGTTAAAAATGCCTTCAGTTGTGCGTTGTTATTTTGGCGTTCTGGGTGCCCCAAAACTGAAGACACCGGGCTTGAACATGTTTCAGTCCGACTTCGCCGGGAAAGAAAATGACCAATTTGGGAGACCGATGCCATTTGTTTGTAGCATTTGATAGACATGAATAGACTTGAAAATGGTGAAATTTGGGGGCTACCCATCTGGTTGCAGTCACAGTTTCAGAATAAAGTAGTGTAGTGTTGATGGGTCTCGTACTACCACGCAGGGTGGTTTGTCTGGATTCAAGAAAGAGGACAGGGAAACTGTACACTCCAAGCCAAAAAACCGAGGATCGGGATTTGGGATCACCTGAATACCTGATGTGTGGCGGAAACCTTGAGGGTACAATCACTAGTGCATAGTATCCGGCAAAGTGTATGTGGATGTATTTGGTTCTGTGAAAACATCCTCAGCCAGCATTGCTGATGACGATGGTGACGATGGTGATGGTGATGGTGGTAATGATCGTGGTGGTGGTGATGGTGGTCATGGTGGTCATGGTGGTCATGGTGGTGGTGCTTTATGTCTCAGGGTGGTGACATATTCTGGTCACGATGATGCCATTCCTTCCGACAGGTTTGGTGTTACACCTCCCGCATCTTTGCAGGACTCTTGGGGATGCATCGGAATCGAATGTGCTGAACCACATTAAAAAAAAAAACAGTTATATGTAGGGTACCCAGCATACCCCAGCTATAAAATATTATAAAATGCTATAAATGCATATTATATAATTATATAATATTATATATTTATATACACTTAACTGTGCATATATGATAATACTATATATATACATAGGGGTTAAAAACCACTTGAACCCCATGTTTTTCCCCCATCTAAAACGAAGATCTTCGCGGCTACCGTCCACGAAGGAGCCCACTGAAGCCGAGTTGGCTGTCAGCGAGCAACTGAAACAGGTGACTGCGGCGTTTCAACGGGTTCTGGGATGGAGCCAAAACTGGTTTGTCTGTTTTCTGATATGGTCGATGTATAGCATGTATGTACATGCATAATATGATATGTTTGTATATAATGTAATCTAATCTAGTCTAATCTAATCTAGGGATTATAATCCAATCCAATTTAATCTAATCTGATCTAATCTAATCTAGTCTAATCTAATCTAATGTATGTATATATATATACACACACTATTTTTTGGGAACTAGTTTGGTGTCACAAGGATTAAGGATTTAGAATATTTAGATTTATGAGTGCCCGATAGTTGGATAGTCTCGTTCTGTAGCAACCATGAATTCAATTTCAGAATAATGTAAAATGGACCGGGATTTCGTCAACAGATTTTCAGGTTCGCCACAATCAACAACAGAGTCTAGGCCTCAGGATTTTTGGGTAATCCCTTTAACTTAAAATTTCAATACTCCGGATGTAGATGTAGGGGATTTGCACACATTTGGAACCATACAATGGGGATTGACACAACCAATCATATGGGTACAGGACGAAAGATGGCAATGTAAACAAATATGGCGATACTACCAACAGCTTTGTTGAACTTATGAGCTGCAAAGTCGGTGCCTTACCCGGCAGGGGTTCTTAAGATGCATCCTAAGGTCTGTTTAGATGAATAATTATATCCCCAGATTTCATTGATTTTATTCTTAGTGTCTATCACCTAACGTCGATTCAGATGAATCTAACATTTATTAACAATTGTACCATGTCACGAAAGACACCCCTCTCGGTTGGCGCCTAACATATGCGCAAGGATCCTTAAGGTAAAATTCAACACTAAAATGGCTGCAGACTTCCTCTCCAAGATCACCCAGTTTTCTAGGCAACATTAGCCATGAATCTAGAGACAAATCACCTAGTTTTGCGGGTCAGTATGCCCAGAAATCATCTTTAATTGAATCATCAAACACCTGAAATGTGACGTTTTTGGTGCCCTAAACCCATGAATTGCCAGTGGAGATTCTCCACAGCTGGGAAGGATCTTGAACTGGATTTCCCGCGAGAGACAGCAGAAGGCTTGGCGCATCGCGAACAAGTCCTGGAGGAGCTGCACAACCGATTTTTTGATTCTTCTGTGGTGAGATGTTCCCCAGAATATCACTATCATATCAATGATATCTTTTTCTAGTTGATAATGGATAGTGGATATCCCTAGGATAATTATATAGTTAATATATGGTCAGAATAACCCCATCCCAGTAATGATTTAATGTTTGTTGGTTTATAAACCCCATTAAAACTATAGCTGTCAGTATCATAAACCATACTTGTTGGAGTCATTGCACCGACTTAGCTATCGTTTGGAGCGGGGCACTTTGTATCATATCCATATCCCCGTCATTAGGGCTGATGTTTCATCCCTTTATCCATTATCATTTAGTCATTCCCATAAACTTGCTGATTGTCATTGAATATGCCCATGATATTCCCATTCTGGCTGGTCAATACAATAATATACCTATATATATATATACATATACATATATATATACATATATATATATATATGTTTATCATATTCTTAAGTATTCTATCTCCAAGATATCCCCATGTTGTCCCATGGTATCCCTCAGGAGCTGGAAGGCATCGTCTCAGAATGGATCCTGGAAGAGGGACGAAGTCAAGGAGCAGCCAGTTTGGGGACGGTGCTTTTTGCTCGATACCCTCTGGTAAACTAACATAGCTATGGAAAACCACCATTTTTGATAGGTAATTCAACTATAAATGGCCATTTCCAATAGCTATGTTAAATTACCAGAGGGTAACATAACTATGGAAAAACACATTGTTTCCCCACATCTTTGTGTGGGGTTTTTGTTTTTGGTTGCAACGTTGTGACACACAATTCTTTCACCATCTTTCCGGCCCATGCCGTTTCTCTTTCCTGCCTTTCCCATCTCATTTTCACATTTGCTTGGTGATTATTGGAAGAAGTTGACATGTGGGGTTATCCGGTCCTTTAATTCATGGGTAAATCAACTATAAATATGTAGATAGATGGAATCAATGGAGGTTTCCTAAGTCATGGGGGTATCCCTAGTTCTCTTCCATTTTTGGGATTTTCCATGATAAACCATCCAGCGTTTTTGGGGTACCCCCATGACATAGGAAACCCCCAAATAGATAGATAAATTATGATAAAACTGGAATGATGTTTAGGATTGGGGTAAATAGCTATCCCTAAATGGCCGAATAGATCTTGTACCTGGAAATAGGAAGATTAGGTGGAACTGCACTCCCAAGCATAGTGTGTGTATGAGCGACCTAGCGACCGAGATGCGACCCATGATGGGAAGTTTTTTCGGGGAAATCATCCCAGATCAACGGGTTTTGGGGTCAGACAACCCGCAAAAACTGGAGGTTTGATTGTGCATCAAGCAATATCAACCTGTGAAAATCAAAAGCATATATTTGCTGTCATGAATTCACTATCGAAAATGCCGAGATTGTCAAAAAAGGACGGTATCAATATGATATTTGGGTTTCCAATGGTAAATTTACCATTGTTGTATTACAATATATATATAATATATATATAATATTATATATATATATATTCACAAGGGGGTTCCACATGTTTAAAGCACCTCAGAAGCTCTCAGCCGAGGACTGTCAGATGAGACCAGTTTCACAGCGAAAATCGTGACATTGGGTTCCTACAGGCAGGCTTCGGTGAAGTGCTAGCAGTGTCAAGAGAAGTGTGATCAGATCCAGGCTTCTAGATGGTTCTAATTGATTGTATATCCTTTGTGATACATTATTAGATATTAAGATATATTCTGTAGTTCTATCATGTTTTATCATTGTATCCACGACATAACATGATCTAACATGTGAATATTCCGTTTCGGATGTTCAGCAGTTTTGTGCGAACGATATATGGGTGCGTGACCATCCCACTCCATTTTCAGACCTAGGTCTTGGCTCCGGCAGCAACCACCTGGACGCGTGATCTAATCCCCATGGTTTGGTGCCTCCACAAAGTGTTTGATGTTCCAACAAATGAAAATTCCAATTATATTCCAATTGAGTATATCTATCTTTATAATTCTATATATATTAATTATTATATATATAT